TATGTTTAATACCCTTTGAAAATGGCTACTTTTTTCTAATATACCTACCAATGGTGGCCCATGATAATCTAGAAACCCTGTATAAGTTGGTTGTAGTTCTGACTTTTGAATCTGTGAACAAAGCTACTGACATTATTGTCAGATTCATACAAAAAAAATGTATTTCTATCTCTTTCTTTAACATGTTGATAAAGGAAAAGGAGATATAAAAATGAGTTATGTACTGCCATTATTGTCACAAAAATGTCAACATAACAATATTTTGATATTTAAAAAGGAATTTAAATGAACTATACTTCATGTATAGTATTTTTGCTTTTTTTTTTTATAAATAAACGTGGCAACATCGTACCTACATTTTCGTCCAAATTCAAATTCCTTCTATAGCTTCAGATCCCTTGGCCAGACAATATTTCTATCCTATTCTTTCACATGCTGTTAGAGAAACAAGAAGACATATAAATAAGTTGATATGTACAGAGTGTTCTAACAATTACCAAACAGAGACTTATTTTTGACTTTCCCTGTGTAGCTATATTGCGTAGCTCTTTGGTTTTTGGTTCTAATGATTTGTTAATACCATTTTTGAATTCTCCAGAAAAAATTGTCCAGTTGGATATTTTGAAAATTTACAAAGATACAGGGAATGTTAAACATAAACCCCTTTTCAGTCCTCATTAGAACACCCTGTACTGTCAGTATTGTCAAATTATCATCATAGCTATGCAAAAAAATTATCTCTATCCTTGTCTTGATAAGAAGACACATATACAGGGTGTGTAAAATACCAAGGGCCACTATTATGGTAAGAGATAAGAGGGCGATTAAATTAGAAGGTTATTGAAAATATCTCTTTGTTGTAGCCAAATTTCTATTATTAGTTTCCGAGATACAGGGTGTTTTTTAAAAAATGGTTTTAGTTTTTTTTTTATTACAAATCACCTTGTATCTCAGAAACTAATAGAAATTTGGCAACAACGAAAATATATGTCGAAAATGACTACTTTTTTTCTAATATATCTAGTGCTACCAATGGTGGCCCGTGGTATTTTAGACACCCTGTATAAGTTGGTAATAAATCGACCAATGGTTGTCAACAATTATTTGAACTGATCTAAAAATTACAAACTAAAATTTCGTAATTTGAGTAACTGCGCATGTGATTTGTGCCGAAGTAATTTTGACGTCTGAATCTACGAACAGAGCTATTGTCATTAGTGTCAAAGTCGTACAAAAAATGTATTTTTATCCTTTTCTTTCACATGTTGATAAAGGAAGAGGAAATATAGAAATAAGTTGTTACATACTGCCATTACTGTCAAATATGTCAACGCCATGCAAATAATGTATTGTCTGGCCAGGGAATCTGAAGCTACGAGGCATTAGTAAGAGAAGTGCAGTGGCTAATTTCATTCATGAAATACCCAGCTGATAGGTTATATCATATTCCGATTCGTACACGAAAATTGACAATGACGAAACTACCGTCACTGTATTTTTCAATATACTAAACGTGGCAACATCGCACACATTCGTCCAAATTCCTTCCTTAGCTTCAGATCCCCTGGCCAAATAATATTTCTATCCTATTCTTTCACAATTCACATACTGATCGAGAAAGAGAAACAAGAAAACATATAAATAAGTTGGTATGTACAGGGTGTTCCAATGAGAACGGAACAAGTAACTTATTTTCAACTTTCCCTGTATAGCTGTAAACAGTTATTCCTCGACGTAACTCTTTGGTTTTTGGTACCTGAATTCTCCCGAAAAAAATATTCTATTTGGCTTTTTTCAATTCTATTAAAGATACAGAGAAGGTCAAAAATAAGTCCTTGTTCAATCCTCGTTGGAACACCCTGTACTGTCAATAATGTCAAAAATATCATAGCTATGCAAAAAAAAGTATCTCTATCATATTCTTTCACATGTTAAAAAAAACACATATGTCTTATAAGGTTGGTACGGTACAAAGTTGTTTGAGAGAAGTAGGTTGCCTGATACCTTTATGACGTCATCTGGTGTGGCTCAACCTTAGATGCCTTAACATAATGTAAATCTTCATAAGGCACCTCAGCAAAGGGTAAACCACCATCCCAAAATTGGTGCAAACAATTCCTCAAAAGGGAATTTTTTATGCATAATTCCTCAAAATTCTTGCAAATTCCTCCAAATTCCTCCAGATACCCTATCACAAATTCCTCCAATTACCTCACCACGAATTTCTCCAAATATCCCGCAAATTCCTGGGAAAAGGGAAAATTTTGAAACTTTTTGCATGCAAAGAGGAAGGTGAGAAGCTCATTTTCCTAAAGTTTCAAATTTTTCCAGTGGAAAATAACAACATGGAAAATCTTGGAAATCAACCTATAAAAACTGAATTAGTTGAAAATACAGTGTCACATATTTCAAATTTTTCCTGGAAAACCAGACAAAGGAAATTTTTTAAACTTTTTGCATGTAAAGAGGAAGGCGAGAAGATCATGTCTCACATATTTCAAAGTTTTTCTAGAAAACTAGTAAAGGGAAAATTTTGAAACTTTTTGCATGTAAAGAGGAAGGTGAGAAGCTCATTTTCCCAAAATTTCAAAATTTTTCAGTGGAAATTAACAGCATAAGGAATATTGGAAATCAAAACCTACAATAACTGAATTAATTGAAAATACAGTCTTAAACATTTCAAAGTTTTCCTGGAAAACTAGTAAAGAGAAAATTTTGAAAGTTTTTGCATGTAAAGAGGAAGGCGAGAAGATCATTTTTCCAAAATTTCAAATTTTTCCAGTAAAAAACAGCAACATGAAAAATCTTGGAAATCAACCTACAAAAACTGAATTAGTTGAAATTACAGTCTCACACATTTCAAAGTTTTCCTGGAAAACTAGTGTAGGGAGAAATTTGAAACTTTTTGCATGTAAAAAGAAAGGTTAGAAGCTCATTTTCCCAGAATTTCAAATTTCTCCAGTGAAAAATTACAACATGAGGAATCTTGGAAATCAACCTACAATAACTGAAAGAATTGAAAATACAGTCTCACATATTTCAAAGTTTTCCTAGAAAACTAGAGAAGGGAAAATTTTGAAACTTTTTTCATGTAAAGAGGAAGGTGCGAAGATCATTTTCCCAAAATTTCGAATTTTTCCAGTGGAAAACAGCAACATAAAAAATCTTGGAAATTAACTTACAAAAACTGAATTTATTGAAAATACAGTCTCACACATTTCAAAGTTTTCTTGGAAAATTAGTAAGGAAGAAATTTGAAACTTTTTGCATGCAAAAAGGAAGGTTAGAAGCTCATTTTATCAGAATTTCAAATTTTTCGAGTAGAAATTTACATGAGGAATCTTGGAAATCAATCTATAATTACTGAATTAGTTGAAAATACAGTCTCACACATTTCAAAGTTTTCCTAGAAAACTAGTAAAGGGAAAATTTTGAAACTTTTTGCATGTAAAGAGGAAGGTGAGATGCTCATTTTCCCAAAGTTTCAAATTTTTCCAGTAGAACATTACAACATAAAGAATCTTGGAAATCAGCCTACAAAAACTGTATTCATTATTCTTTTGAATTTTTTAAATTTGACAATCTCCGTTAAATTCTTCATAAATTTCTCACAAATTCTCCCAAATCCCCCATAAATTCCTCCAAATTTCCTATAAATTCCCCAAATTCTCATAAATTCCGATGAGTTCTTCAAATTCCCCACAAGTTACCCATTACTGTCTGGAACCTATTAACTTTAATAACCTTGAGTATGGTACATTTGAAAAGGAAGTTGGTATTTACTGTCATTATTCCATTATTGTCAAAACTGTCGAAGTCATACAAAAGTAATGTATTTCTATCTTTTTCTTTCGCATAATTTTTGTTTCTGGCTGGCCAATAAAAAGCTTAAGACAGGCAAGTAGGACAAAGAAACCGACATAAAAAACTTAATGGTTAAGAAAAAGACAGAGATAAAGTAGGATAAATTAAATAGTGAGGCAAACTTTGATTATTCCCGGCGCTTGAGTGGCTAAGAGCTTGGAATAATAAAGAGACAGCAATATAAGAAATTCAATAAATAAGAAAGAAAGTTGGTAAATACAGGGTGTTCCAATGAGGACCGATTAACCTATTGGAATATTTTTTCCTGGAAAATTCAAAAATGGTACCACAGAACAATTTGAACCAAAAACCAAAGAGTTACGCTATAGATGAACCAATAAAGATCAAGAAAAGTCTAAATCAAACCAAAAATTACAAAGTTCAAATTCTTTAGGATTTCAAATCAATATTGGTTCAAAAGTCGTAGAATAATTATTTTGTTTGAACCCCTCTGATAATCGAAATTCCTTTGTACTATCCGCTCCATTATCGTTTTTTTAATTATTATTTAATTGGTTCTATATTGATTATTTTGTTTTCGGAATCGCGATTTCCATTGTGGAGATAATAATAAAATATGACATCATATTATTTAAAGAAACCGTTTTAAGATTCATACACGCATAAGCGTTTTTTACTCGAGTATAAAAGAATTTTTTCGGTAGATAACCTTGACTGGTACCAAGTAAAGGTATTTGGGCCATTTAAATGCAGATTTTTCAGGCAAAAATAACTCTTGAAATCCATTAAAATTATTTGCATGTCTCAAAATCCGATTTGAACTATTTAAAGCTGCCATATTATACCGAACATCTCACGAAATCTAGTACTCGCATATAAGGACACATTATTTCTTTGTATATACCCTATATGGTACCTAAAAGCTATATTATGTAACATATTGATTGGCGTAATAATAATAATTGGAAAGTGTATTAATAATATTGAAAATCTTCCCCGAGCTGAAATACAACAAAACTGGTTGAGAGATAATAATAAAGGCGTGGGCGATGCGATGGGACAACACAAATTGCATAGTTTTCGGTGCAGTTTTTTTTAAAGTTCATGGGCCTAATTCAAGGCCAGACTGATGGAAAATTACTTCACCATGGGTAATTTTTTGTTATTTATTACAGACATACTCTGGACTGTTTTGTGTGGTAGTAAACCCTTACAAAAAGCTGCCGATTTACACCGAAAAAATAATGGAACGTTACAAAGGCATAAAAAGACACGAAGTGCCACCCCATGTTTTTGCCATTACCGACACTGCTTACCGATCAATGTTACAAGGTAAGGATTGTTACAATTTATGCAGAAACTTACTTATTAAGGATTTTTTTAGAACGTGAAGACCAATCGATTCTTTGTACTGGTGAATCGGGTGCAGGAAAAACTGAAAACACGAAAAAAGTCATTCAGTATTTGGCTTATGTCGCAGCCTCAAAATCACCAAAAGGAGCTGGAGCGGTAAGTACTTATACACTTAATCAAAATTTAAAAATCTCTAATTCATTTTTTTATTTGCATGGTTGCCTTATTGGAAAATATGCAGCAAAAAGATCTTATCGTAAGTAGTTTACTCTTTTTATTAAAAATAAGAAAACAACACAATTACTATAGTAGTTTGCATGAAAGGGCTATTTTAGGAAAATTGTATATTTAATGAACGATTATTACAACCCACCTTATGCTACATAAGATCATGCAAATTTAATTCGCTTAGTTTTTTCCCTTTATTTTTACATGCAATCATGATCACAGAAGAAAAGTCCGACAAGGGAATTTTCGGTACGTAGTTTCATTATCAATTTTTCATATAGTGGCTAGCACGTTTTATTACTTCACTGTGTGGTCTATTAGTCATTTAACCCGGCTTATCGTTTAAACAATTATTTACCCAGATGAATGTTTATATTTTCAACATCGACATTTTGTAGATTTGTGACTGGTTTCAAAATATTTGCAATTATTTCATTTGCAATTTCCAATAAAGGCTTGGTTCCTCTCTGTCTCCCATTTTTGTAAAAGGATTGCTAACTATGTATTATAATAATTGGACACTATATATTTGTGAATTAATAAAGAATTATTATTGTATTGTTAATGATTATAATAATGAAATCATTCTAGGGAGGTTTAGAACAGCAGCTATTGCAAGCCAACCCCATCCTAGAAGCCTTCGGTAATGCAAAAACCATCAAAAACGACAATTCGTCAAGATTTGTAAGTGATATTTTGCAACTTAGGTCTTGATTAATAATATATTGATTTGTCAGGGTAAATTTATTCGTATCAATTTCGACGCTTCCGGATACATCGCTGGTGCCAACATAGAAACTTACCTCTTGGAGAAATCACGTGCCATACGTCAAGCCAAACTGGAGCGTACTTTTCACATATTTTATCAGCTTCTAGCTGGCGCTTCGGATTCACAAAAAAGTAAGTAAAACTGGTAAATAATAGATCCATATAGTTACTTGTATTTATCTATGTTTCCTGATGCTTGAAACCAAGGTTTCTTTCAGTTTTTTTGACAATCTGGTAGCTAAATAGTTGTTAAGGTCTAATTTCAGAATCTCAGTAAAAATGAATCTACAGTATCCTATTTACTTTACTATCAATCTAGACAGATGGAGGGTTTAATAATTTTTGCCCAACAGGCCTTTTGAATTACAGAAGCGCGAGATCCTTGACACATTTAGGAAAACTGTTGAAATATTCTAAAACCAAAAAATTTGGTCCATTCTGATACTTCTTCACTCTGAAGTATGGTGTGTTATAGGTATGGAAGTCACTATTTGTATCATATTTATGCAAGTTCACTCTAGCAAAAAGAACATTTTCATAAATGAAAATCAATGAAAATGTCATAATACCCAGGTTTACAAAGGCATATCCTGTATGACAACCTAGCAATGATTCTTACAGCTCTCCTTTGTAAGGCAAAAATCCTACTTGCGACTGCAGCCCCTCCCCAAACCATTAGGCCATAAGACAGCAATGAATGGCAGAGAGCAAAGTATTTCGCCCCTGAGAAACACCACCTGCCAGACCCATCAGCACAAATATGTTTCTGCTGATTTTAGTTGTCAGTTTCTCGATATAGAGGTCCCATTTCAAGATGGGATTACCAGAAACCTTATTCTATTCACTGTCTCTAGGTCTGTCTCACAGTCTCTCAAGGAAAATATCATTTTGCTGGTTTTATCCTCATTTAAAATTAAGTTATTTTTCCCAAACCCCAACCTGTGTTCTCCTAGAGATCTCCTCACAATTTTTGAATCTCATACTAATAGTGGTATTATCAGCAAAGAGACAGAAGTCAATAGTGTTAAAGCATTCAGGTAAGTTCTTGACATATACCAAAAATAACAGCGGACCCAAAACAGAGCCTTGTGGGACGCCTACCGCTAACCTCATACCCTCCGACAATACACCATTACCTTCTGAGATCTATTAACAAGATATGATTTCATCAGTTGGAGACTATAAGAATCAAAGTTGTAAGATTCGAGTTTTTTTGCTAGAAGAACACGCGAGACACAGTCAAACGCCTTGCTCAAATCGCAAAACATGGTAATGGTGTGTTCCATATTTTCAAAAGCATCTAGCAGACGCGTAGTGAAACTCAACAAACTTGCTGTAGCCCCTACTGAAACCATACTATGCCCCTGTGAAAAGGTTGTTATTTTCGAAATATTGAACTATCTGAACTGCAATACATTTCTCAAAAATCTTGGATAACACTGGAAACAGGGATATGGGTCTATAATTTTCAGCCTCCTCTATATCTCCCTTGTTTTTATATATTGGCACAACTACAGCCTGCTTCAACGGCCCAGGAAATTGAGTCCTTTGAATTGACAGGTTAATTAGAGATTATTTCTTGAACCATCTTCAATAGTACATTAAGCTGGTAAATATCACGACTTGATTTATTCTTCAAACATTTTATTATATCCCTAACCTCTACATAAGAAACAGGACGAAAAGAAAACCCAGGGCCTTTTTTAATAGTTATAAGTTCAGGACTATCACTTTCAATGTTAAGATCAACCAGTAACTGCCGTGCAATATTTGTAAAGTATTCATCGAAACAGTGAGTCGAAATGCTGGTGGGTGAGGATGTTTTTTTACCTGAATGCACCAATGCATTGGCGGGCGAAATTAGAATGATTCCAAGCCTTTTCAGAACAACCCCTTTATTTGTACCCCAGCAGTAAAAATTCAATTAAAAAACCCCCAGAAATTCAAAGCATACTGCAAAAAGATGACCTAAAAAAAACTCAAGAGAAGGAGGAAGAAAAGGTTAAAAACATTGAAAAATTGAAAGTGGAAGTAGACTTCCTTAATACTTGACTGTCCATGTGTATATTAAGGTATACACAGTGGCCTGGACCAGATCGTGACGTGTATATTCTATATCCTATTCACAATCTGTAGTCCAAAGGTACAGGTAAATTTATCACCTTTCCCTTCAAATACCATTGAAAGGTAATACATTTTATCTGTACCTTTGGACTACAGATTGTGAATAGACAATAGTATTTTATACACATGCAATCATCAATTCTGTGCCGGGTATTTACTAGAGTAGTACGCTTCACATGCATTTCTTATGGGATATTTTTCAGTGTGGCGTGGGGCCATCACACGTGTATATGGCGTATTATATATTTTTTTCACTTTTACGCAACATGTATATTTTTTATACACTTGCCCTAAAGCCCTAATTACAAAAAAAAAAAACTAACTAAAGGTGTTTCAAATACTTTTCTATAAAAAAACACATGTGGCCCAAGCGACCCTTTCATAGAATTTGGCATGGTCAGTCAAAGTGTTTTAAAAGCTCTATGGAACGAAGGAGGAAGGAAAATGAAGCCATCAAGGATGAGATGACAAATATTAAAAAAGAACTTAAAGAGGTGGATGAGAAAATTGGAGTAAGCTATGCCGATGCATCGAATAAGCTTGAAAAAAAGTTAACACCATGAAAACATCAGAAGATAAAGAAGCAGTTGATCTTAGAATTGAGCTCACTCTAATAGAAATCCAGGAGAGAGAACGCCAAGCCAACAATATACTGGCGTTCGGCGTGGATGAATCAAAAAGAAAAAACCGGCAAGATAAGGAGTAAGACGATAAGGAGACAAATAGAGCACTTTTTGCAAAAATGTTTTGGTTGAGAATTGAAATACCAAACAAGAGAAGACCGATAAAAGTGAAGTTGCCAAACAGATTAGAAGCCTTAAAAGCTCCCAAACTCAGAAAAATGTTGGAAGAAAATGCACCAGGTGTCTACATAAAATCAGACGAAACAGAAACTAAAAAATACTTGGCAGATATAGAAAAGCAAAAAAGTGAAGGAAAAGACAACATCATCATTAAGTTCATGGACGGGCTAAAGGAAGCAATGATAGTTGAAATCTCATTCTGGTATACATGGCAACATGATTTCAGTTGTAAACAAAATTGATGAGTGAAAGGCGAGGGTTTTGACTGTTTATCCAACAGTAATCATGCTCTCAGAAACTTGGTTAAGAGATGATATAAATGCCAATCTTGATGGTTATGTGGTTATAGTATCTTTCGAGAGGACCGTCCACATCAAAAAGGAGGAGGAATCTGCATACTTGTCAAAAACTAAGTCAGCGAGTACAATCTGAAATGCAGCCTCTGTATGGCTAGACCTACAATTGGACAAAGTTAAATTCCTGATAGCATGTATTTACAGGCCAGGTAGCACAACAACTGAGCCACTTAACACTCAGATGATAAGTAGTATACGCAGGGCATTTGTATTTAGAAACCCATCATTCGTTTTAGGAGATTTCACCTCAACATAAACTGGGATAACCTGTCAATATTCCCAGCTGGAAAAAAAAGCACAAGACTGTATGGTACCAAAAAACCAATGCATATCAACTAGTCAACTTTCAAACACGGTATAGGAACAATTAGAGCTTGCTGTTCTGAGAGTAGCGATCATGTAGTAATCACTGCCAAAGTATTTTACATATTAGGCTACCAATTATTGAAGTGATAAGAAATTTCTATACAGCCAGCTATGATGAGATAAACAGCTAATCAACATGATTTGAAAGTCTCAATATGATTTTAAATAGGGCAATAGAACAATGTATTTCATCGAAGTCTGTGAAGGCAAACCAGCAAAAGCCTTGGATCAATTAACTTTGGGATACATACAAAAACAACAAATCTGATGACTACTACTACTAATAACTACCAGGCCTATATACGACCCAAAATACCACACTCTAAACAAAAACTGGGCGAGGCTAGGAGAGTATATTATGAGCATGGTTTAGCTACAGCAGATTCACCAAAAAGGATCTACAAAATATATAAGCAAAAACTTGAACTCTAAGGTGTCAACAATAACACTTAAGATGAGAGCCATGGCTGAAAAATTTGCTGAACAATTTGACAAATCCTTCACCCAACAACAGCACTTATATCTTCCACCCCGGCCTGCAAATACCAGAGTCTGGAATTTGATAAACACCATGGAATTCACAGAAAAAAAGTCAAAAGAGCCCTAAATAATACGACCTCAAGTCCAGGGCCAGACAGGATACAAACCATTATGCTGCAAACCTGTAGTGAGTTGGTTGGTTCCCTACTCTCTGGGGTAATGTAGGAATGTATTGATTCGGGACGCATACTAGAGAAATGGAAGCTCTATAAACAAGGCAACAGACACAAACCGAAAAAGTATCGACCCATAAGTCTAACATAACCCGACTCAGGAGATTGGGATAATCGATTAATTTGCCCATTCAATAATCATTTAATAATTTATAAATGAATATGGTAGGTACCAAACATATTATCTCCAAATACTGAGTGGAACCAAGGACATTTTTTGTTCAATCATAATATAGGCATGGTCAACTATTCTGCTGCTGTTTCTATAAGCACAGTATCTGAATATGCTGAACCCTCTTAACAGAACCAATGTGGTAACCATACCACCACTCCAAGGTGGACCTACCAGCCTAGTAGACTCCACTGAAAAATATTTGCAATTTCTCAGAACAAAGCCTAGCATCTTTGAACCCTTTACCGAGATTGTATTAATATGATCAATAAATGATAACTTTTTATCCAGGATCACTCCTAAATCCTTAACCCTAGACACATAATGCAACTCTTTATTATCAATTACTTAAGTAACTAATCTCCACTCTACATGCTTTACGGGAAAAACTAATAAGACTGCACTTATCCACATTCAACTGTAGCTTATTGCTGACACACCACCCAGCCAACCTATCCAGATTTGCCTGCAAAAGTTGTTGGTTCTCTATACCCTACACAGTCCTGCATAACTTGAAGTCATCAGCAAATTTTAATTTCTTGCTGTTATGAATACATTCTATAATTGTCACTTGGTACAATATAACTTACTTTCCAGA